GTCCCTCAGGCGCCTTAAAAAAAGTCAAAAAGTCTAAATGGGCGGAGCCTAGTCGTGTTTAGACTCATTTTGAAGCTCTAGACAAGGCAAATACGTATTTTGAAAAATAATTAAATTTGCTCCAAAACTGTTTGAGTTACGGTATTTTGAAAAAAATTTTTTTTGAAAATTAAAAAAAAATCGATTTATTGATTAAGCAACAGTAACAATATTCTGATTTTTGAAAGTTTGAATTTTCTCCTCCTCCATCACTTGTTGGGTGATTTTCCTTTCCATCGAATGCGTCTTGACCTACTTTCCATGAATTTCATTTTTCGGGGTCCCCTATGCGCCTTTAAAGTAATAAAGTGCCAAAGTTCAAAATGGGCGGAGCCTAGTCGTGTTTAGGCTCATTTTGAAGCAATCGACAAGGCAAGTTCAGATTTGTTAAAATAAATTAGTTTGCACCAAAATTGTTCGAGCTACGGTATTTTGAAATTTTGAATTTTTTTTTTGAAAAATTAAAATTTTTTTTTCTTGGCTAGAATCTCAAGAATTCAGAAAAACTATACACATTTTTAAAATCAGCCTAAAAAGGGCTTCAAAACGAGTATAACCATGACCTACTTTCCAAGAATTGCATTGTCCCTCATGCGCCTTAAAAAAAGTCAAAAAGTCTAAATGGGCGGAGCCTAGTCGTGTTTAGACTCATTTTGAAGCTCTAGACAAGGCAAATACGTATTTTGAAAAATAATTAAATTTGCTCCAAAACTGTTTGAGTTACGGTATTTTGAAAAAAAAAATTTTTTGAAAATTTAAAAAAAAATCGATTTATTGATTAAGCAACAGTAAGAATATTCTGATTTTTTAAAGTTTGAATTTTCTCCTCCTCCATCACTTGTTGGGTGATTTTCCTTTCCATCGAATGCGTCTTATCAACAACTCGAAAAAATAAAAAAGTGGAGAAAATGGAGAGAATTGGAAGTAGACAAGTATAAGTGTATAATGGTACAATTGGTGAGAAGAAGAAACATGTCATACAGGCGGCCGCATGATACATTCGGGTCACTGCAAACGATTGGGCACGTCGCTGGGGCAGGACTAGTGCACATATCACACTCCTCACTCCGTTTATACAACAATCACTGATTCCACAGAATATGGCAATTAGGAAGATTAAGGGATAGCTGAAAATATGATAGAATGATTTATGAGGATTCTGGAAATCTCTGATTTTCTGATTTCTGACAATTTTAAGCCTACATATGACAATTTTACAGAAAATTGTACTAATTTTGTAAAATAGTCATATTTTGGTTCATTTTTGTTCAAATTTAAAATTTTATTATAATGAATAAAAAACAGAATTACAGAAAAATTCATGTGGATTCTGGAAATATAGTTTTTATAGAATTTGGACAGTTTTAAGCCTACATAAGACGATTTTTTCTGAAACCGAGGCCGGCCGTGGCACAGTAGTTTCACAGTATCTAGGTCCGGAATCCGGATACCCGGGTCCGGATTCCGGAGTCCTGAAACTCTAAAAATAAATAAAAAATTAAAAATCTGTAGTAGTTTTGAAGAATTTGGAAAGTTTTGAGCCAAAATATGATAATTTGAAAAACTTGCAAAAATACTAAAATTTTCAAAAATGAACAATTTTATGTTTTAGTGCAAATTGGCTCATTTTTGTCCAAACTCCAAAATTCATATACTTTCAGAATAACGAATTTCAGCTTAACAAAATGAATGTAAACTCGATTTTCTAAAATTTTTCGAAATTTCTTAATTCTTCAATTTTCCGTCCCACCTCTGCCCAATCCAAATCGATTTCTCACTGGTTGGCCTCATGGGCGCTTCAAACGGTGTTGAAATAAAAACCAATGAGCAATAGATAATCACACTAATTGTGCCAATTAACATAGTTGGTTTTAATCCGAACCCTTTGATTTGTTTGGACAAGGTCGAGATTAAAATTCCCACTGAAAAATTTTTTTTCGACAATTTTTTTTTGAAAATTTAAACATTTCAAAAACTCACTCAAAACCTCTCCTAGGCCAGCGCCAAGACTATAAATTGCTGGAATATAGATCAAATTCGAATTGGATTTTGTAAAATTCATAGCCGTGGAAAAATGGCCAACCAAAATGAGACATTAAATCCGCCAAGGATAGTTAAGGGCAATAATTGGACAAGTTTTGGACTGATTACTGTAGATAGTGTCATTTCTGAAAATTCTCAACTTCTGAATTTCCGAATTTCTAAAATTCTAAATTTCTGAATTTCGGAATTTCTGAATTTCTGAATTTCTAAAATTCTGAATTTCTGAATTTCTCAATTTCTCAATTTCTCAATTTCAGAGTTTATAAATTTCTGAATTTCTGAATTTCTGAATTTCTCAATTTCTCAATTTCTGAATTTCTGAATTTCTGAATTTCTGAATTTCTGAATTTCTGAATTTCTGAATTTCTGAATTTCTGAATTTCCGAATTTCTGAATTTCTGAATTTCTGAATTTCTGAATTTCTGAATTTCTGAATTTCTGAATTTCTGAATTTCTGAATTTCTGAAATTCTGAATTTCTGAATTTCTGAATTTCTGAATTTTTGAATTCTAAGATTCTGAGATTCTGAGGCTCTGAGATTCCGCAGAAGGAAACTGTTTTGGGGGTCCATTGTCTCCGCATCTTCCAATAATGGACATTTGGAACCCTAGAAAGTACAAGAGAGAGCGATTAATTGTGAGAGACGCTTAGAAAAAGAGAAGGGGGGCTGCATGATTTATGAGTTGGATTCTTTCCAAATGAAAGAAAGCAAAGAAGAATGGGGGGAATGGAGATTCGGAATGATGGATTTTTTTCATTTCGGTGCCAAAACCAAAATTTTTGGAAAACTTCGGAAAGATGAGCACTATAGATATTGGTGCCATCTTCTCGTTTTTGATTGATTGGCGAGAAAAGAGAGGCGGGTCCTATTTTTTGTTTCGAAATGACCTGAATCTATAAGACATGCAGAATCTAATTCGTTGTGATTTGAAAGATAAAAAACTGACAGTATGATTTATAATTATCGATTTTGAATATTTGCTTCAGGTGACAATTTTGGTACATGGGATCTTTCTACGCGGTTGCAGTGGACCACTCCTAATACACTGCGTCTTTATACTTTAGCCCTAATTATCTCAGTTCTTATAAAAGATACAAAAACTTTGAAAAC